TTATTTCTCCCAGACCCTGTTCTGCCATCCACTTAAGCCCGTTAAATATGTCACGCGTTGCTTTTCCTTGTTTCTCTTTCCCTCTATCCGTCCTGTGAGTATCAGATTTTCCAAGCCTTCCTTTCTCGTTACGTGTCCCAAAAATGTCAGCTGCTTCTTCCTGATGTTAAGTATAAGCTTCCTCTTTGTTTGCATCCTCTCCAAAACCTCATCGTTGCTCACATGTTCGGTCCATGGTATCCTCAGCATCTTTCTTTAGAACCACACCTCTGTTTCCTTGAGTCTCTTCATCTTTAAGGAGACGGTCCAACATTCTCTGCCGTAAAGGAAGGCAGATATCGCATAGCAGTTTAGGTATCCTTAGACATCGATAGTGTTTCGAGAACAATATAACACAATAGATTAAATAAAGGGTCCAGTTCGACACTCCTTAGAGATTACCCGGATTGTCAGAAACCTCAGAATGGTCGAAATGCTGTGATGATAATGTAGATGATGACATTAGTCTGAATGTAATAATGTCTTTTTTGTTTATAACGTGGGTCAGTGAATAGTCAGTACTTTAGTATGAGTTTGGCTTTTGTACATTTTTTTCTTTGTTTTAACAATCTTCTTACCCATTATTATTATTATTATTATTATTATTATTATTATTATTATAAATTTTCCACTTCAGAGCCACAATTTTCTTTTTCTAAAACCACATCATGACCTACTTTTCCCTTCTGCATCGTTTTGCAATCACTTCCTGCCCCCATCTGAACTCTCCTATCCCCACTTCTTTTGGTTGTTTATCCGGTCAGCTAACCAAGCTTCCTTTTTATTCTATGTTTTGACTTGTATAACCCCTTTCAAGAAAAGTATTACCAATCCTTCCACTACTTGTACAGACTCGTAATGTCTTAGATTATCTAAAGCAATAGTATAACATCTAACAATGAGAAATGAAGTGTATAATTAATTCAATAAACTTGTGTTTATTCTGAAAGATCTGAGCAAATATAAAGAAATATAGTGTTTATTAGAACGATGTGAATTCATTTTCCAACGAGGTTTCTATTCATGCTCTTATAATTTTGATTCACGCATAAATTTTCCGGCTTTTAGACATAGTAACCATGATCCATGTATTTGTCGAGTCCTTCAATTGAATACTAAAAACATTCTAAAATAGAATTAGATACTGGCATATTTTTCTATGTATATCTAGGTATGTTCAATACTTCGCTAAAAAAGGAGCATACCCTAATAAAAAAAAGGCCCCAAACTTAAGCAAAACTTATTATTAAGAGGAAACACCAAAGTATTTTGTTAAAGCTTTTTAATCCTTTCTAGCACGTCCAATTTTTTTTTTTACATAAAATCGACCATATCAGCCATTTTTGACCGTTTTAAGTGAAATTCATTTTAAAATCTTGAAAAATTTTTTTTTTTTTTTTTTTTTCAAGTTATTTTAGGAATACTAGAAAATTTAAAGTATACTTAATGTAATTTGAAACAAACATTACTTAATTTTTTTTAGCAGAAAAAATTTAGTTGGAAATAAGAGAAGCATGTCTAACTGTGTTGATTTGTTTTTGGAGGAGTGAATTGACGTTTACGTCAATGTATGGACAACTAACGTCAGGGCAATGTATCGGACGGAAGTACAGAAGTGACAGTATTTTCGAGTTTATTTAACTGTAAAGTAATTCTTAAAAATTAAATATTTTCAAAAGTCTACTTTATTAACGAAAATATGACCAACGCCTGCACTGTTTCCGTTCCTAAAATTATATCTAAAAAAGAAAATTAATAAATGCAGTATATTTTTTACTGAAAAAGAAAAAATTGATTAGAAAAAAAAAATGAAAAAATATTTGATATGTGTTGAAAAAAAAAAAAATTGAAAATGCATGGTCGGTCAGTCAGAGAATCTAGACTGACTGTTCGGTTCAACTCGGCGTAGCCTCCTTCGGGGAGGTAAAACCGGCCTGAACCCGTTTATGTGGGTTCAAACGGGCATATTTTGCGGCCGAGCCCACGGGCTCGGGAAACCCACAATAAATAACCGACCTTGTGTCCCAGTGTGTGTGTGTGTGTGGGGGGACTGAATACTGTCAGTCAGAGAATCTGATACGAAATCAACGTAATTTATGAGGCCTGATCCTCGCTATCAGGAGAAACAACTCTTAAAACACGGGACATTATTTCTGAATTGTGTCTCCATAGTTTTGCTGGAAACGTTTTTAAAACATTTTTTTAGCATATTAAAAAAAACTTATTGTAATAAGCTTTGGAGCTTATGATCTGTAAAAATAGATCTTTTAATAAGAGCATTTCAAGAGACCTCATATTCAAACTTAATTTTAAAATATTTAACAGCTTTACCACATTTTGTATTTATTTACAATTGAAAAAAAAAAAAACAATTCTTGTAAAAATTGATTTTTTTTTTTTTTTTTTTTTTTTTTTTTTTTTTTTTTTTTATATGGAAAAATATTTCTCATCAAAAAATATTTTTTCATTAAATAATGTCTTAGTTTCGCATTTTACAATTCAGAGCTAGTTTGGATAGAAATGCTCCTCGTTAAAAAAAAAATCGATGATTTATATTCAAAGCTTTCTGCATTTAATTAAAAAAATTAAAGATTTACATATTCGAGTTTTCATAAAATTAAATAAGGTGGGGTGTAACAGATGTAAAAATATATTTTTACCATAACTTTCTAAAAAAACAAACATTTCTAAAATAATTTTATTCATTTTTGAATAAGTTCTGAAAGTTTCATTAAAATCAGACAATTATTTGTTTTTTGCAAGAATTTCCAAATGAATGTTTTTCAACTGAAAAACGCGCTTAAAAAAAAAATACTAATGCTACATATTACGTGAGCGCTGACGTAAAAAAAAAAAAAAAAAAAAAAAGACAAGATTTTCATCCAAAATTTCAAACGTGCCAGAAAGGAGTAAAAAAAAAAAAACTATTTAAAAATACTTTGGTCCTTTCCTTTTATTATTAACAAACTTTTTCACGATAAAACTTTTGTTTTTTAAGTTTGGGGCCTTTTTTCATTATGCTATGCTGTATTTTTTTTCCCGAATTATTGAACATCTTTTGAATATCTAACCCAAGTTTGTTGGTAACGCTCAACGAAACTTATGAGTGAAAGTGGCTGAAAAGTCTATATTCATTTTCTTTCCTTTCCTTTTCTTTTCTTTTTTTTTTTTTTGTCTCAGATTTTAACATTTCTCGTTGATCTTCTTTGTATCCGAAGAATTACAATAGTCTGTTAAACAGACCATTCTTCCAAACTTTCAATATTGGTCAGCCAAGAACTAAGTAGCGTATTTTATTTATTTTTAACTATAATTTTTTTAAAGCATTTTATTTCAAAGGTCTAGTCTATAGACCTTTGAAATAAAATACTTTAAATTATTTTTTGCTGAAATCTTAAAATTAACTCCATTGTTACACAAGTACTAGAATTTCGCGAATGGAAATGATCAGTATTTTCAGAGGATTCTGTTTATATTCTGTCGTGCCTCTTGGTCTTACATGTTTTTGTTTTTTTACACAAACCTGATGATGACCGCTCGACGACCCAAATCAGACTGCGTAAAAACGTTTTCTGTGCATACGGTCCGCGCATCTACTTTAATGAAAATAAAACGAACAATTTATTGACCCAGTCAGAATCACACCCGCCCCAAAAACCAAAATCTTGATTTGGATCCGAACAATGGGTATATATTTTCTAATTAAGTCAAACTCAACTTAGCCCGACTTAGATGTCAACACCGGCAACCTGAGAAACGCGACACAAACTAGCCTTCGTATCAACATTAACGTGCCGAGAAACAACAGCAGCCATCAGCAATGTCTAATTTCACCATTCTCTCTTGCCTTCGTAACAGCAACTGATGAAAGTTACTAGTTTTGTATGTAACTTAAATTATACATTTATGTCCATATACAGATGTATTTTTTTTTTTTTTTTTTTTTTTTTAAATTTTACGTTGACCGCAACAGTAACAATAGGGGTCTGTCTTTCAGGTTCCCCATTTCCGCCCCCGCAACATTTCTTAAAAACAATAATCTTATCTTACTTATAAAACGCAGATTGTGTGTGTGTCTGTCTGTACGTTTATATATTGGATCGGATTTCCTACATTTTTCAACCGATTTCAACAAAACTTCACAGGACTGCGTAAAATTACCTTGCGGTGGTTCTGACAGCGGCGAAAATTAGAAAAACACAATTGTTTTTGCACGAAATCAATTTGAAAACACGATAAAACACTATTCTGTCACCAGAATGAAAGGGGGACAACTCATATCGAGTTATACTTTTATAAAACCCAGGTTGTTTGTGTGTGTGTTCGTTTATATATGTGATCGGATTTCCTACATTTTTCAACCGATTTCAACAAAACTTCACTTTTTTTGGCAGGTAGTGTTTCTTATTGTCTTGCACACTTTTTTCTTTATATTTACATTCAGAATGCTTTAAAAATTCCATTTACAAGACAATTGTTTATAATAAAATTCTATTCAATTGATAGACTCATAACGATTGAAAACAATGTTTTTGTTTGGGTTTGACCAATTCGTAAAAAAACAAAACAAAAAAAAACTAAGACATGCGTGCTCGTCAACCTTAAACAATAATCTTTGTCAATTTTATTTTTCAGTCTTTATGATGGTCGATACTTGATCTATCTCTTACTGTTACACCCTCGGGCAACGCCGGGCTCTACTGCTAGTATATGATCATTTTGGCAAACTATTATTAAAGCTGTTGTCTAAACTGTTGAAATTATTGGTTACTTTGAGTAAACTAGTTTCATCGTGTAAGATTACCCCAATTGTCTGCCAAGGAACTTCTAACATCCGATACGCGGCGTTGCCAAAAAATAGTATAAAAGAAAAGAGCAGAAAATGTATCTCTTCTTTCTCTCTTTACCCACAGAATTTCTGTAGTGTCTCGTTTCCTCTCTGGAGGACTTTCTAGTCCCCCAAAACTGGTTCTCATACAATCACCCAAGTTAAGCAGTGCCGTGCCTGGTCAGAACCTAGATGGGTGACCGCTTGGGAATACCAAGAGCTGTAAGCTTGGATGTGCGGTTGATACAGCTCGGAATTGGAAATCGGATAGCTCCAATCGGGTTCGTTATATCCACTTAGGCGCAAATATCATTGGGAAAAGTATGAATCCACCTCTTCTGTCCCTCGGCTATGGGTTAATTAAACTTGTATCCGTAAATCATTATCTCACTCCCCCCAACAAATTCTTACAATCTAAGAAATATTCTCTGGCTTTAAATGTCCTACAAAGGGTTGATGAGCCGCGAAAAACAAATTAATGCATTCTTAGTCCCTAGCGAACCGCGTGTCGCACACAACACAATACAATAAACCTTAAGCTGATAACTATCAAAGCAACAATAAGCTTCTCAAGTGTAAATCTCTCAACATCTTCACTAGGACTTTGCATACAACATATGTACAAATAAGCACTTCAAAGTAATAAGACTCTATCTATCTATCTATCTATCTATATCTATATATATATATATATATATATATAGACACCTTTTTACTTATTTTTTTTATACTCTGTTTATATTCTTAAGGCAATAAAATGTAATTGAATGTACAATGTTGTTTGTAATTTAATTCCTATCTGTTCGAGAAAACACCACATACGATCATGATCTAAATCTTTTACAAAATATTGCCATTTTAACAAATGTTAACCTCACAACAATCGGGAATTTGTAATTTAGGTAAAAATGGCACAAGTGAAAAATAAGTTTATTGAAATATACGTTCTTTATATTATTCAGACTATTGTCCTCATCTTTGTCGTCATATTTATTACGAATCTAACCAACGCCTTTATCCACTGTGGCACATGTCCTTTGGCGACAAAGATGAGGACAGTAGTCCGAATAATGTGAATAGTGTACATAATACCTCATCTCAGAAATATAGACAGATACTGAAATATACATTATTGGCAAAAAGTTGGTTTTGAATTAAATCTAATTTTTTAAAAATATATAATATACAACTTATTTATTAATATTAGCAAAAAAGTAGAATTGTTTTACCTCCATTTGTTAGTGTAAATTTATACGTTTAAAATTTATGAAAAACAATTATAATAAAATCAAATATTTTTAGACATGAGCACACAGTTTTATATCAACCTTTTAAAAACAGAATTTGTTAACTAAAATCTCATGTTATGACCAAATCATTTTTACCTGTATCATTTTACCGTGCCATCATTACCCTTCAAAAAATATTGATTCGTCACAGTCAATTTGTCCTAGTAAGTTGGTGGATAATTTGTTTCAGTGAAAGAACTTAGCACTGGGATACTTAAGTAACTAATAATTTAGTATAATTTAGTATATGATATTTCCTTCCTTGTGAGATATATTCAGGACATTTTCACTAAAAACAAAACAAAAAATGCTAACGTCCATAATTTTAAAATACAGGGGCCTAAACAGAAAAAGTTATATTTTTCTTTTTTTTTCTCCTAGAAAAAGGACCAAAATTCCTTACGGAAGCCCTAACCCTTGGATAAACTTAACATATTCATCCTTAGTGGTTATGAAGATTCTTGCGGAAAAAGCCAGAAAGAGGTATAAATTTTGACAGCATTTCTCTCACTCTCACACACACACACACACACACACACACACACACACACACACACAAGAAAAAAAAAGTAACAACTTGACAGATCTGTGATCCAAGCAAAACAACGTAAAAGACTGAACGCTGGCTCGGGAGAAAGGTTAAAATTTAATCTCAAATCAACACCGCAAATTGAGTTTTTAGTTGGCGAGAAAAAAAAAGTTTGTTTTCAACACTTTTGTACTTAAAATATTACACTTCGTTCAATGTAAACAAGCTTGAGAGAGAGAGACAGAATATATGCTGGAATACTCTTATAAAATACATTTACATTGTTCGAACTGTTTGCCTCATCTTTGTTGTCATATCTACCGTTGTACGCTCCTTCCTTGGAATTACGAAATGAACCCTTTATTTCGTCCACCGGGGTAGATTGTTCTAGTTTCACGTGCTATGCCTCCTCAGTTATCTCCCTTTAACTTAACTCTCCACGTTTTTGTTCACCACTGCAATAATTGAACTCACAACTCCTTCGGTCAAGTCAATGGATCCAACCAACGCTTTTAGCCACCGGGCCATGTGTCTTTGAGGACATCAGTGTATAAATTTTGGGGTCTTATAAACTTAATGTCTCAGTAACGATTTTTTTCACTAGAGCTCTTATTGCAATTTTTGTTGTAACTTGTCTCTAGCACCCCGTGTTACTGGTTCCTGTATCGTAAAAAAAAAAAAAAAAAAAAAAAAACTTTGAATATGGCAATAAAGATGAGGACAACAGTCGAATAATGTAAATAATTACAACACATCTTATATAAGTATATTTTTCACAGACGCATATATATCCTTTCTGCCTTCCATCAGCAACGTTATCCGCTCACATATTGAATCAATTGCTAGGTCTGCTGCTTGGAAATTTGGCTCGCCGTGTATTGCCAGACAATTTTTCTCGCCAGAATTTATCTTGCACATAAGTTTACTATTTCTCGATGATTTGAATATTGCTGTCACATCTGGTCTGGTGTTTCTATGTATTTAGAGATTCTTGATTAAATCGAAGGAATCCGCAATGTTATTGGTCCTGCCCTGGTATCTCGGCTTCATTCACTTTCTAACCGTTGTAATGTAGCTTCACTGTGACTTTTCCATAAATATTTTCATGCTAATTGTTCTGAACTTTACTCTGTAGTAGTTAGACTTTATGAATTTAAGTGCAAAACTAGACTGACTGCAAGGTCTCATCATTTTACAGTTGAAATGGCTAGTTGTAATCGTAAGTTCTGTGCTAACAGTTTCTCTTTCGCACTTCTCGCTTGTGGAACTCTCTTCCGGCTTGCTTCCCAGTCAGCTTTGATCTTCAAAAATTTAAATGTAATGTCAATCGTTATCTGCTGCCTTAACTCTTCTTTTATTGTTCACTTTTTTAATAGTGTTTTATTTTATTTCATATTCTCTCTCACTCAATAACTCCTTGCGTGTTAGTGTCTTTATTGTCTTACTTAGGGTGAAATGATTTTTTAAAAAATCAGCCCCCTCCCGTTAATGCCAGAATTATATATTTTCTCTTTTTTTTTTTTCTTTCTCTTTCTTTTCTCTTTCTCTCTTTCTTTTCTCTTTCTCTCTTTCTTTTCTCTTTCTCTCTTTCTTTTCTCTCTCTTTCTTTTCTCTCTCTTTCTTTTCTCTCTCTTTCTTTTCTCTCTCTTTCTTTTCTCTCTCTTTCTTTTCTCTCTCTTTCTTTTCTCTCTCTTTCTTTTCTCTCTCTTTCTTTTCTCTCTCTTTCTTTTCTCTCTCTTTTCTTTTCTCTCTCTTTCTTTTCTTTCTCTCTTTTTTTCTCTTTCTTTTCTCTCTCTTTCTTTTCTCTTTCTCTTTCTTTTCTCTCTCTTTCTTTTCTCTCTCTTTCTTTTCTCTCTCTTTCTTTTCTCTCTCTTTCTCTCTATTTTCTCTTTCATTTCTCTTTTTTCTCTACTTAGTAAAGGCCTTGCAAGGCCTTCTCAGTGTCTTTATTGTCTTAGTGTGAAATGATTTTTTTAAAAATCAGCCCCTCTCGTTAATGCCAGAATTATATATTTTAATAACATTGTGTATCAACAACTCTCCACAAAAAAAAAAAAAAAATAAATAATTGAATTCTTTTCTTAATATTTCGGACTATAAAAAGATCTAAAAGATTTATTTACCGTCGATATGAAATATTGTTTTTAATGATATAATACTAACGCCAACAGTAACACCCTTTGGAGATTTAGCTTGGTTAAAATTAGAAAAAAAAAAAAAACAAAGTAACCGTTCCGCGTGTTAATAACCAACTCGAAAAATGCTCCCACAAAAATATTTTGAAATATTCACTGTAAATTTCATTATTTCAATGGAATAATTCCCTGATCTTTGGTAAATTTTAAAAATCAGCGGTTAGCGCCCCCCCCCCATGTTTTGCGCTTGATTTTTTTTTTTCTTTGTAGTAATTCTGTAAAATATGCAGTAAACATTAATTAAGGAAAGGCATTAGAGAGATGAGTACTCGGTCACTTTTAAATATGAGACCATCTTGAGGGGGCATTTCATCATGTAGATGGAAATCTCTGTATAGCACAGCTGGGAGATTTGTTTTATCAGACGGCCACCTTTTGTAGTATGCTTTTCTTCAGCTGATTACACATTTTGTCCTGGTCTGTTGCCCTGCTGATCTGCACAAGCCTTTCGTCAGGGTTTGGAAGGAAGCTAACCATATTCACATGCTCAAACTGTGTTTGATTGTTCTTCTTATTCGTAAAATATGACCGTGATAGCATGTCTGCCGTGTACATGTATTTATCCTGAACATATACTACGTCGATGTTGTATTTTTGGGTCCCCAGTAACAATCCCCTGTAGACGCTTTGGTGCTTTAGCGAGGGGTTTCTTCACTATAGCCTCTAGTTGTTTGTGGTCAGCGTGAATTTCTGTCCTACCATAGGTGTATTGGTGAAATTTCTCCAATGAGAATACTATTGCAAGCATTTACATTTTTTAAAAAATTTGTGCTTACCACTGCTCTGCCTCAGTGAGGGCCCTGCTTGAATACGCGACAGGTTTTCTTTGCTGTAGCAGTGCTGCACCAAATCCTGCTGAGCTTGCATCACACTGAATTATAAGAATTGAGTACTGGAGCTTTCGTCACAAGTTCATTTCTGCGAGTGCTGAGTCATATACACAAGACCATGGCCATACAATATCCTTAACATGTCAATCGTCGGATCGGCTCCATGACAGAGAATAGTTGCGACAGTTCAGTTCTACAGAGTTGTTGTTCTCCTTCCACTGAAGTGTGTGGTTGCAACTTGGTGTTTGCATCAATTTTAGCAGAGTCTGGTAGTAGGCCACTACTAGTTACGAGATGCTCCATGAAACTGATTGCTGATTCCTTGAGCTGAACCCCTCCCTCTCTCCCTATTTCTCTTTACACATACTCATATTCAGTGTCACT